GCAGGTCTAAAGCAGGACTATAGCAGGTCTAAAGCAGGACCTATAGCAGGTCTAAAGCAGGACTAAAGCAGGTCTAAAGCAGGCCTAAAGCAAGTCTTAAAGCAGGTCTAAAGCAGGACTAAAGCAGGTCTAAAGCAGGTCTACTGCAGGTCTAAAGCAGGTCTAAAGCAGGACTAAAGCAGGTCTAAAGCAAGTCTAAAGCAGGTCTAAAGCAGGACTAAAGCAGGACTAAAGTAGGTCTAAAGCAGGTCTAAAGCAGGACTAAAGCAGGTCTAAAGCAGGACTAAAGCAGGTCTAAAGCAGGACTAAAGCAGGACTAAAGCAGGTCTAAAGCAGGACTAAAGCAGGTCTAAAGCAGGTCTAAAGCAGGACTATAGCAGGTCTAAAGCAGGTCTAAAGCAGGACTAAAGCAGGACTAAAGCAGGACTAAAGCAGGTCTAAAGCAGGACTAAAGCAGGACTAAAGCAGAGACTAAAGCAGGACCAAAGCAGTACTAAAGCAGGACTAAAGTAGGTCTATGGCAGGTGCAAAGCAGGACCGCCCTCCCTCAGCCAATCAGCTCTCAGCCTAAAGTGTCAAACAGTGACTGACAGGGCTCTTATGCGTATGCAACAGAGAATACATTTTTAATAAGACCAACCCCGGCTTCTTCCAAGGTTACAGCATGATGTAAACACACATTCATATGGAATAACTATACTATCCCAACTAATAACATAGACAATTCTGGAATCATCATGCATAAGTTAAAGTTCTCCTCGACATCTCCATCTCAGAGCTTTCAGACAATGGAACATTAGAGGCAATGTTTTTTAATATTCACTCCTTCCACATCCTGGACCCTGAATATGTATGTGTTCATTCATCATCTGCTGCTGGTTCCCAGTGGAGGTCATCGGTTTGTGAAGCCAAACTATAGACTGACACTCACTCACCCTATATTCCATCATTTACATATACATGGGTTTGGAGACAGAGGAGAGAGGGGTGAAAGAGAGGAGAGAGATGAGAGAGGGGATAGAGAGAGAGAGTAGAGAGAAGAGAGAGAGAGGAGAGAGGATAGAGAGAGAGAGAGTAGAGAGAAGAGAGAGAGGAGAGAGGAGAGAAAGAGGAGACAGAGAAGAGAGAGGTGAAAGAGAGGAGAGAGAGGAGAGAGAGGATAGAGAGAGAGAGTAGAGAGAAGAGAGAGAGAGGAGAGAAAGAGGAGACAGAGGTGAAAGAGAGGAGAGAGATGATGGAGAGAGAGAGTAGAGAGAAGAGAGAGAGGAGTCAGAGGAGAGAGAAGAGGGAGAGGAGAGAGTGAAGAGAGAGGAGAGAAAGGGGAGAGAGAGAGAGAGAAAAGAGAGAAAGGAGAGAGAGGAGAGAGGAGAGAGGGAGAGAGAGGAGAGAGGGAGACAGAGGAGAGAGAGCCTTCACTTGGGCCCTGGAGGCAGCAGAGCTCAGGGAGTGCCCTGAGGTGATAATGGCCTTTGTTAAAGATGCAGAGTGAAACTGGTCCCTGTGTCAGCGATTACAATCGCTTGAATTTCGACCGACCAATCAGAGAGCGCGGGAGGCGGGTGTTGTAAGTAAGTAAGTAAGTAAGCTTTATTTATATACCGCCTTTCACAGACCAGAGTCACAAAGCGGTTTACACTTGTTATTTTTTGGGCACTTGTCTCTCACTCCACACAGAGATGGAGCGGGGTCGCCGAACAGGAGGCGCATGCCAGACCTATTGTACATATTTTTAGTGGAAGGGGAAACCGGAGTACCCGGAGGAAACCTACGCAGACACGGGGAGAACATACAAACTCCACTCAGAAAGGCCCTGGTCCGGCCGGGATTCGAACCAGGACCTTCTTGCTGAGAGGCGAGAGTGCTATCCACTCAGCCACCGTGCCGCCCCGTGTTGTTAGTTGTGGCTGACGTCAAGAGTTTGCGTCGAACGGGAAGGTTGTAGTTTGGCGAAAAATGTGATGGTAAAGTAATCCGGTCTGGTTCTATCAAGAAACTGAAGCTGGAGCGAGAGGAATGTTTAGCAAATGTAATCGCTGGTCAAGATTGTGGCGCGACTCCCCACGGGCTCCGTTAGCAGCAGAGGAGATGGCTAAAGCTAGGCTAAAGGCTAAATGCTAACAACAGACTCGGGCGCATTACATACGTCACAGTAAACTCAGATCCAATCGTTTCAATCTGTAAAAGGAGTAAACCCCTCCTATCTGTAAACTGAGCTCAATGCAGCGCCTCCAGACCTTAGTATGAAATGTAATTTGCACTATGGTGTGGTACGACCAGGCTAGGTGTGAACTAACGAATGTGAGTCTGTCTCTGAAGCAGAAGAACGAGTGACACTGTATGTTGCCTCAATTGTACAATATTTTGTACATAGGACTAAAGCAGGACTAAAGCAGGACTAAAGCCGGTCTCTAGCAGGTCTGAAGCAGGTCTAAAGCAGGTCTAAAGCAGGTCTAAAGCAGGTCTCTAGCAGGTCTAAAGCAGGACTAAAGCAGGACTGAAGCAGGTCTAAAGCAGGACTAAAGCAGGTCTAAAGCAGGTCTAAAGCAGGTCTCTAGCAGGTCTAAAGCAGGACTAAAGCAGGACTGAAGCAGGTCTAAAGCAGGTCTAAAGCAGGACTAAAGCAGGTCTAAAGCAGGTCTAAAGCAGGTCTAAAGCAGGTCTAAAGCAGGTCTAAAGCAAGACTAAAGCAAGTCTAAAGCAGAACTAACATACCCTGGTGGAATGTGTAGTGTCTCTGTCGTCTCCAAAGCAAAAGAAAGAGGTGAGTTAATGTAGTGTAGAGTAGAGTAGAGTAGAGTAGAGTAGAGTAGAGTAGAGTAGAGTAGAGTAGAGTAGAGTAGAGTAGAGTAGAGTAGAGTAGAGTAGAGTAGGGTAGGGTAGGGTAGGGTAGGGTAGGGTAGGGCAGGGCAGAGCAGAGCAGAGCAGAGCAGAGCAGAGTAGAGTAGAGTAGAGCAGGGCAGGGCAGGGCAGGGCAGGGTAGGGTAGGGTAGGGTAGGGTAGGGTAGGGTAGGGTAGGGTAGGGTAGGGTAGAGTAGAGTAGGGTAGGGCTGGTGGAAACAGTGCTAATAAAAGACATTTCTGATGGGGCCTGGACAGTGGTCATCCGTCCCCTTTGGACCAATGGCTCCTAAGAGTTTGTTTTCATTGCAACCGTTCGATTCTCAGATTTTTGGAGAATCCAAAACTTTATAAGAAAAGATAAAGACTTTATTGATCGCACACTGGAGATATGGACATGTCACTTTGGCACAGACAGGATCACTCAGACTGTGCAGTAGGCAGAAGTGTGCAAACATGTGAAAGGCAAAAAATATAGTCTATTCAGGGTAATAAAAGTGGCAATGAAGAAACAGTGGCAATAGTAGTGACACCTCTGGCCACCCCCCTGACCCAGAAATGGATTAAGGGGTAGAAAATAGACATATACTATTGAAGAGAACCATATCGCTTGTAATTGGTTCGTAATGGTCGTTTGTGTTGATTGGAGAAATGGTAAACGTCATGTTCAATGTGAGCTCCCGTCGATGTCCGTCACTCGTCACAGTTTCAGCGGTGAATGTCTTTCTCCTCAGTCCGATCCATTTGCAATCATCCCGCTCCGTGTGATTGTCCCCTCGAGACGAGCGTCGGATTTGGACACAAACACATTCAAACACTTGACACTTCCCTCCGTGTGTTTTTCTGGGTCAGTGAATCAGAAAAGCCTGGTCTCAGCGGCGTGAGGAAGATGGACGTCAGACTGGTGCCGCAGACGATAATGACCATGTGTCAGAAAGAACCACCCGAGCTCTTATCTCTTGTCTGTGTCTCTGGTAGAGGGACCAGGGAGGGACCAGAGAGGGACCAGGGGGAGCAGAGGGACCAGAGAGGGACCAGAGAGGGACGGGTCACTGATCTCTCTCTCTGGTCTCTCTCTCTGATCTCTCTCTCTGGTCTCTCTCTCTGATCTCTCTCTCTGGTCTCTCTCTCTGGTCTCTCTCTCAGGTCTCTCTCTCTCATCTCTCTCTCTATGGTCCCTCTCTGGTCTCTCTCTGGTCTCTCTCACTCTCTCTCTGGTCCCTCTGTCTGGTCTCTCTCTCTCTCTCTCTCTCTGGTCTCTCTCTCTCTCTCTTTCTGGTCCCTCTCTGGTCCCTCTCTCTGGTCTCTCTCTCTCTGGTCTCTCTCTCTCTCTCTGGTCTCTCTCTCTCGCTGGTCTCGCTCTCTCTCTCTCTCTCTCGCTGGTCTCTCTCTCTCTCTCTCTTTTGCTGGTCTCTCTCTCTCTCTCTCTCTCTCTTTCGCGCTGGTCTCTCTCTCTCTCTGGTCTCTCTCTGGTCTCTCTCTGGTCTCTCTCTCTCTGGTCTCTCTCTCACTGGTCTCTCTCTCTCGCGCTGGTCTCTCTCTCTCTCTCTCTCTCTCTCTCGCGCTGGTCTCTCTCTCTGGTCTGTCTCTCTGGTCTGTCTCTCTGGTCTCTCTCTGGTCTCTCTCTGGTCTTTCGCTGGTCTCGCTCTCTCTCTCGCTGGTCTCTCTCTCTCTCTCTCTCGCGCTGGTCTCTCCCTCTCTCTCTCTCTCTCTCTTGCGCTGGTCTCTCTCTCACTCTCTGGTCTCTCTCTCTGGTTTGTCTCTCTGGTCTGTCTCTCTGGTCTCTCTCTGGTCTCTCTCTGGTCTCTCTCTGGTCTCTCTCTCTCTCTGACAGAAGGACATGCAGAGAACCAAAGTTGATTGAACAATGGAGCGAGTCTCTGCTGTGCACCATCTGGAAGTCCGAAAGGTAGATAAACAACCTCTCGCCATCTCACCAATCCTCGCCACGAGCCAAGCATTGTCAGCGGCGGCGGCAGCGGCGGCGGCGGCTTATCAATCCAGAGCCAGATCCCGCAGAGGACGACAGACAAAGGAACGAAGACCAGGAAATAATGGGACAGGTGCCACGGCGACAATGAGAAACACAAACCAGACCGTGGACCAGAGCCAGAGAAGCAGCATTTAATCCGGACCAGTCTCAATCTGAGCCGGCGATCCAGATGAGGAAGGAACCAGAGGATGAAGGAACAAGAGTAGGAAGCAACCAGATGAGGAAGCAACCAGAGGAGGAAGCAACCAGAGGAGGAAGCAACCAGATGAGGAAGCAACCAGAGGAGGAAGCAACCAGAGGAGGAAGCAACCAGAGGAGGAAGCAACCAGATGAGGAAGCAACCAGCGGAGGAAGGAACCAGAGGCAGAAGGAACCAGAGGAGGAAGGAACAAGAGTAGGAAGGAACAAGAGTAGGAAGCAACCAGATGAGGAAGCAACCAGATGAGGAAGCAACCAGAGGAGGAAGGAACCAGAGGAGGAAGGAACCAAAGGAAGAAGGAACAAGAGTAGGAAGGAACAAGAGTAGGAAGCAACCAGATGAGGAAGCAACCAGATGAGGAAGCAACCAGATGAGGAAGCAACCAGATGAGGAAGCAACCAGAGGAGGAAGGAACCAGAGGAGGAAGGAACCAAAGGAGGAAGGAACAAGAGTAGGAAGCAACCAGATGAGGAAGCAACCAGATGAGGAAGCAACCAGATGAGGAAGCAACCAGATGAGGAAGCAACCAGATGAGGAAGCAACCAGATGAGAAAGCAACCAGAGGAGGAAGGAACCAGAGGAGGAAGGAACCAGAGGAGGAAGGAACCAGAGGAGGAAGCAACCAGAGGAGGAAGCAACCAGAGGAGGAAGGAACCAGAGGAGGATGGCAGAGTAGGCGGGAGACATCACCACCAACAAGTTTATAACCCAAAGAATCCAGACAGCTCTTGACAAGCAAGACTCAATCAACATATTTAAATGTTCATCGGAGAATACATTATACATATACTTTCTTAAAACACGTGCACAAAGGTTTTCAGAAGTATCTGTTCATGTTTTCATGACAAAAACACGGTTATAATGCAACAAAAAACGATCAAAGAAGTGAACTCACTACTGATCATTGTTGAGTTTTCATGTAGTTCCAGAGAGTTCTAGTCTTGAAGTGGCTGGCCTAACTGTTACTTGTCTATCCACGGCACGGCAAAACATTTGGGAACTATACTATTTGCAGTCATTAAATAAACCTTTTGCCATTCAAATAACTGGACTGAAGTTTATTTAGTGTGTTCAGTTGGTACAAAGCCGTGTAATAAGCAGGATTACGTATAGAAGGCAGGTCATTATCGAGCAAGTACAGACAGGGCAACTCTATACATTATCCCTTACATATCAATTTAATAATTATTAGTTCAGAGAGAGACTAGAGAGAGACCAAAGAGAGAGAGACCAGAGAGAGAAACCAGAGAGAGAAACCAAAGAGAGAGACAGTGCGTGTTTGGTTCAAAGAGTTTCAACCAAAACAGCAAAAATAACTGGACAATATTCAAACAGCAGCAGTTCTGAGGTGATCTCTCTCTGGTTCTCAACTCAACCATGAATCCAAATATACCTAAATGGTCTCGTCCTGGTCTTTCCTACATATAAAGACACATTAAAGCAGTATCTTTTGAATGGGGAAGTCCTCAAACGGCCCGTACGCATCTCTAAGCTGAAACTCATGAATAGACCATTTTCGTCGAGTCTCCGAAAATTCAATCGCTTGAAACGACAAAAGGAAAATGTAGAGAATGTGTCCATATCTCGTGGAGATAAAACTCAGACTGACTGGAAGCTATGGAATGAATGGGTTTAGGGCAGATTGACAGATTTTAATAACCGGTAATATCATTTTTTGTCAGCTAATTTAATAACCATTTAAAGCAGAGAGAGACTATGAGAGAGACCAGAGAGAGAGGCCAGAGAGAGAGACCAGAGAGAAAGGTCAGAGAGAAACCAGAGAGAGAGACCAGAGAGAGAGACCAGAGAGAAACCAGAGAGAGAGGCCAGAGAGAAACCAGAGAGAGAGACCAGAGAGAAACCAGAGAGAGAGGCCAGAGAGAGAGACCAGAGAGAGAGGCCAGAGAGAAACCAGAGAGAGAGACCAGAGAGAAACCAGAGAGAGAGGCCAGAGAGAAACCAGAGAGAGAGACCAGAGAGAAACCAGAGAGAGAGGCCAGAGAGAGAGATCAGAGAAAAAGGTCAGAGAGAAACCAGAGAGAGATGCCAGAGAGAGAGACCAGAGAGAAACCAGAGAGAGACCACAGAGAGACCAGAGAGAGACCACAGAGAGACCAGAGAAAAAGGTCAGAAAGAAAGGTCAGAGAGAGACCAGAGAGACACCAGAGAATGACCAGATGGAGAAACCAGAGAGAGACCAGATAGAGACTAGAGACAGGCCCGAGAGGGACAAGAGAGAGACCAGAGAAAGACCAGAGAGGGAAAAGAAAAAGAGACCACAGAGAGAGAGACCAGGCAAAAGAAAGAGAAACCAGGGAAAAGAAAGAGACCACAGAGAGAGAGAGAGAGAGAAATCAGACAGATGCCAGATTGACAGATTTTAATAACCTGCTATATCAATGCATTTCCACAGTCATTCTCTGACTTATTTTCTCATTTCTATTATAATATCTCAGGTCAAAATCAGAGCAGTCTCCGGCGAACGACGAGAGGAATCCAATGGAAAACTCCAGCGCGATAGAACCGGTGAATAGATATGAGGAGCAGAGTATGCACGGATGAATGAGAGAATATGGAGGTGATTTGAGAAGCATTTGCATTCAGCCGCCTCCTCAGAAGAGCTCGGGGGCAGCGTCGGCTCTGAGTGAGCTTTGCAGGGGCCTTCTGGCTGCTGTACATTAGAGCACAGTGGGAATCTTTATGACGGAGAATGGGAGACGTGTCCTTGGACGAGTCGAGGAGAGTCGCTAAACAAAAAGAAGAGTTTAGACGCAACAGCTGCAGCAGAGTCCCACGAGTGAAGACAAGAGGTCTGCCTCAAAGTCAAAAGCATTTAGTCCTGATGCAAGACTCGGGAATGTGTCGTAAAGCCATCGCCGGCTCATTCAATAAGCATTTAAAGGAGAAAGCAGAGAGAGAGAGAGAGACCAGAGAGAGAGAGAGACCAGAGAGAGAGAGACCAGAGAGACCAGAGAGAGAAAGAGAGTGAGATCAGAAGGAGACCAGAAAGAGAACAAGAGAGAGAGAGAGAGAGAGAAAAGAGGGAGCAGAAAGATACCAGAGAGAGAAAGATAGCGCGAGAGCAGAGAGAGACCAGAGAGAGCAGAGAGAAAGAGAGAGAGAGAGAGCAGAAAGGGACCAGAGGGACCAGAGAGAGACTAGAGACAGAAGAGAGAGAGAGACCAGAGAGAGACTAGAGAGACAGAAGAGGAAGAGAGACCAGAGAGAAAGAGAAGAGAGAGAGACTAGAGAAAAAGAGAAGAGAGAGAGACCAGAGAGACACGAGAGAAAGCAGAGAGACAAGAAAGTTTCTATCTCTAGTTTTCACGTGTATCTTTAGATCAGATTTTTCAGACAATCAGCTTTCAGCCCAAAGAGTAGACTAGGACCAGGACCAGAACCAGGACCAGAACCAGCCCTGACAGCTCTGCTCCAGCTCTAACACTGTCACTGTCTGAGGCTACAGGAGGCTGGGATCAGGTGGCACAGGTCCACCATGAGGGGGAGGAGGGGGAGAGAGGGGGAGAGAGGGGAGGTCTGACAAATGGGACCCGTCAGGTAGCAGTCTCACAGATGTGGAGAGGAGCGCTGTGGAGGGGGGAGAGGGGGGAGAGGGGGAGACGGGGTGGCTGTCTGTTTATCAGCAAAGTTCCCCTGACGTGATTGAAAGCAGAAGAAACTTTGAAAATCTGGCGACTCAGACTCAGTCACATGTTAAAGGACACACGAACAGCACGGACCAAAAGTTTGGACACACTTTCTGATTCAATGAGTTTCTTTCCATGACTATTGCTGTAGACCCACACCAGGCTGTGTAAGGAGAGAGATGGTGCTGGGCCACATGACCTCCACAGTCACCGGACCTGAACCCAGTCGAGATGGTTTTGGGGCTGGACCACAGAGTGAAGGGGCCAACAAGTGCTAAGACTGTTGGAGACCATTTCAGGTCCTGTTGAAGCTCATCCAGAGAAAGCCAAGATTCAGATCAGATTCAGTTTATTTGCCATTTGCAGTAAAAAAACCACATTGGAATACATTAGCGAAAAGTCTCCAAGAGTGAAGCAGTATCAGAGAAAAAGGTGCTACTTTGAAGAACCAGAATATAACACATATTTTCAGTTGTTTCATACTTTTTTGAGTAAGTACATAATTCCACATGAGTTCATTCATAGTTTTGATGCCTTCAGTGTGAATGTACAACTTTCATAATCATGAAAATAAAAAAACTCTTTGAATGAGAAGGTGTGTCCAAACTTTTGGTCTGTACTGTATGTTAAAGGTTCCATCTCCAGATTATCAGATGCAGAGATCTGGTATTGGTCTCACGGTGGGGAAATGTCAGTGTTGTATCACCAGTTACAAACAGTAGAATGAGGAGCACACAGAATAATGTTAACTACAGAAAACCCTAAACTTTAAACATAAAATAAAATCACCATCGTTATCTTCTATAACCTGAAAGCAAAGGAAGGTTTCTCACCCATCATCTGTACTTAGCAGGTTTTCCCGATGTTTCGTCCTTCATCTAAAGGACTTTTTCAGGGGAATGAAATCTCAGATCGCGCCGTTGGAGATTTATAACCTATGGGTGTGGTTAGCCACACCTTCATCCTGATGCTAACTCATAAACAAACTAAGGTCTGTTTGATGTGGAACGGAGCAGGTCTAATAACTGTGACATGCATTAAAGGTACCCCAGCTTTAATAAGACTTTACTATATAAAAATGTCAAGAACCTAAAGCCTCTGATGAAGAGCTGAAAGTCTTTATCATCTCATCCTCCTCATCATCTCTGCTTTCACATCTGACAGGACCGAGGTGAAGACCGGAGCGTAACCTTGGAGACGGCTGTGATCCGGTCTCTGGTGTGCAGAGGGGTTGGGTCTGGGGCCAGGTCGTGGGCTCTGAGAGGGAAGACTGCCGCAGACTTGGGCTGTGATCAAACATTCAGACACAGACAGAGACAGAGCCGGACTGCAGCCCAGAAACTAGTTTTAAGGATTGTGATACATCGATACATTCATACGCCATCTTTAATCATATACACTTTCATATGTAAAAATGTCAAATGTTTAAAACCATATGATGAAGAGCTGAGAGCCTTTATCTGGGCTGAGTCTGGTCTAGTCCTAGACTGGTCCTGGAGTGGTCCTGGAGTGGTCCTGGTTTTTCAGAGTCCGTTTGTTTTTCCACCAACAAAACTCAAGTGCCCGTCACCATAGCAACACATTAATAACTTTGATAATGACTGATATAGAACCACATGTGTCACTGTTCCCTCGTGCTGCAAACATGTACAGATGTAAACATACGTAAGGGATAATGTATAGCATGCAGGTCATTATCGGAAAATAAGTACCGACAGGGCGAAGCGGACCCCGAGGGGTCTGCTTCCGCCCTGAAGGACCTGTAGGCTATACATTATCCCGCTTATTATACTGCTTTGTACCAACTTAACACACAAAATAAACTTCAGATCACTTTTATGAATGCCAAAAGTTTATTTAATGACAACAAATAAAGTAGTCCCAAAAAGTTTTCCCGTTGCTCGGCAACCGCGGGCAACAGTTAAGCCCAACGCACACCGAAACGCCTTGACGCGCGGCAAAAGAGCCGCCTCCTTTATTTTCTATGAGAGAACGCACACCAAGGTTGCAGTGACGCGCGGCGACGCTGGACCGGGCGCCACGATTCAGTTTTGTTGAATCCAGACGCGGCGCCGCGGCTGAAACTGTCCCTCCAAGCACCCGTAGTTTTCTTCTTCTGCGCTTCTTATCACGTAGCTGTGAGCGCGGTCTCAAATTTACACACTTGTCGGCGCTATTGCTCAAGTAAACCGGTCACAATGGACGAGGAAAGCTTGATAACCCAAGTACAGCGTTACCCAGAGCTATTTAACCCACAGAATCCTTTTTATAAGGATATCGTGCGAAAGGAAATTGCCTGGAGAGCAATTTCACTTGAAATTGAATGTACAGGTAAGCTAACAATAGGTAATTGTAGCTATTTTTATTGGCTATATTGGCTATATCAGCTGGAAAAGGACGCTAGCCAAGGCGTTCCGGTGTAATTTGACACATGTCATGAACGCGCGTCAAATGACGCGCCGCGAGGCGCTGCGTTTCGGTGTGCGGTGAGCTACAGGCTAGCAACTTCCAAACTAGAACTCTCTGGAACTGCATGAAAACTGAACAAAGAATTCTGAACATCAGCGGTGAGTGACCCAAACATAAACCTAACCTAAATCCATAATTCGATCCTCTGCAAATGTGTCCGAAAATGTGCCGGTATCTTAAAATGTGCCGGTATCTACTTCCGGGTTTTTCGGGATCGCCTTTTCTCGCATTACATCCGTGTTTTTGTCATGAAAACGTAAACGGAAAATTCTGAAAACTTCCGTGCACTTGTATTAAGACTGGATATGTATAATTCACTCTCCGATAAACATTTCATTGCGTTGATTGATTGGCATTTGCGTTTATTGAGCGGCCAGAACTACTTCCGGGTTTTTCACGATCGCTTTTTGACGCAGAGAAATAGTATTTTTGTCATGAAGACAAGACCAGAAAATTCTGAAACTGTCCGTGCACGTGTGTGAAGAATGTATAAGTATTCTCCGATTAACATTTAAGTGTGTTGATTGAGTGTGGCTAGCTCAGGAGTGGCCGGAACTACTTGCGGAGTTATCCACGCATTTGAAAGACAAGCAGAGAGTGCGTTGCCATGGGCAGCGGTCATTATTGTTCTACAGGTCCGTTATAGAAAATAATGACCGGTAGAACGTTTTGAAATTACATTCAAATCAATGGAGCGTTCTCCTGCTGCTGTGAGGAGCCGTATAATAAAACTATATATTACTTACACAAGAATAAACAGCATTTTATACTTGCTTCTTGTTTTGCTAAAGTCAGGGTTTTTGTACTTAAGGTTTCACAGCCGACTCCTCTCACCTGCACATGGACTATTCCAACCACTCCCCTCTCACCTGCACATGGACTATTCCAACCACTCCCCTCTCACCCTGCACATGGACTATTCCAACCACTCCCCTCTCACCTGCACATGGACTATTCCAACCACTCCCCTCTCACCTGCACATGGACTATTCCAACCACTCCCCTCTCACCTGCACATGGACTATTCCAACCACTCCCCTCAGGCAGGAGGCTGCGGTCCATCAGGACTAGAACCTCCCGCCACAAGAACAGTTTCTTCCCCTCTGCTGTTGGACTCTTGAACACTTCTTAACCTGTCCCCGCCCTTTATAAAGTCACTTTACTGCCCATCATACGTCACTTTACTTCACTGTACTGCTGTCACCTTACATTGTGTGCACCATGTGCACTTGGATATTGTAAATAGTAACTGTAACTCTATTTTAAATTTAAATGTATTCCTTAGAAGTGTTTTTTTTTCTTTATTTTTATTATCTCTTTCTGACTGTTGCACTGAGCCAAAGCAATTTCCAAGTCTGTGACTTCCTGTTACTTCCGTGGCAATAAAAATGATTCTGATTCTGATAGGAGGATTTTCTACTTCTGGGTGGATCATCAAGACTATTGGTCCCCCTAAATTGTCAATCATTCTGGTGATACGTGCTCGACAAATAAGACCAGAAGTGGAGAATTTTCCTAAAAATCCTCCTAAA